GTCTCGGAAATACGAAACGACGACACCAAATTCAACTCAATCTGAGCCCAAATGAGTCAAAATCAAAGACCCGAAGCGCTATTAGAAAGTTTGTACCACAATTTGAGTTACCAAACGGTCTTTGAACTTAACGAGCTTACGGTCGAATCGAGCGGCTTGACGAGACGAATCCAATGAGCCCAAGATCTTCAAATGCTTGATAAATGATTCATGATCAAGGGATTCAATATCGGCCATCCATCGAACCACTCCACATTTGCCCATGATTTCTCATCTATTTACGGGCCATGACACTCCAAAAAAATCTATAAATAGACCCATCATTTCTCATGAGATGAGACCCAAGCAAGAAGCACGAGAAGAAGAAGAGAAAAATACGAGGGAAGATATTCCTCGACCATCGCCGGAGTTCTGCCCGAACTCCAAATGACGCCAAAATTCTGCCCGACTTCCACGGGACGCCAGAATTATGCCCAAGTTCCACGGGATGATGAAATTCTTCCCAATTAAATATAGAGTTCCCTCCTGACGCCGAAACTCCGCCCAAGTGATGTCGGTGTTCTCCTCGGCCACCAACAGACGTCGGACCTTCACTCTTCGCCAAGTTTCTACTCGACGTTGGACTTCTACCGGTTATCGGACTTTCGCTGGACGTATATCCGAAGATGGATTTCTTTCCATTGTTGGACTTCTACATGACGTCGTCCTTCTGATCTTTATCGTCAGACACAGTCCTTCCAGCCTCCGTCGCAAGACAACGATCCTTCTGACTTCCGTCGCCAGCCGACTATGATCCTCCTGACTTATATCACCTGCCGACTACGGTCCTTCTAACTCACGTCGCCCACCGACTACAGTCTTTTCGACCTTCGTCGCCAACCGCCCACAGACTACAATCTTTTCGACCTTCGTCGCCAACCGACTACGGTCCTCCTGACTTACATCGCCCACTGACTACAGTCTTCTCGACCTCCTTCACCCATCAATTATGGTTCTCCTTACTTATGTTGCCCGCCGACTACAGTCCTTCTGACTTACGTCGCCTATCGACTACAGTCATTCCGACCTCCCGCCAGCCGACTACGGTCCTCCTAACTTACATCGTCCACATACTATAGTCTTTTTGACCTCCGTCGCCAGACAACGGTATTGATGACCTCTGTCGCCCACAAATAATGATTCTTCTGACCTCCGTCACCAGACTATGGTCCTCCCGACCAAACGAACACATCAACAGTGATTCTTTGTATTTCCAACATGTAATGTAATTCATATAATGTACATCAAGCCCAGGCCTTCCCCCAAGGAAGGGCCTCATTTGTAATTGACTACAATATTAGTGGATTCATTCAAACTGGGCTAGACCCGTG